CACAGCTCCCGACAGGATCGCTCCGGCGCCATTCAGGATCACTGGGAATTTGGCCTCCAAACATAGAGCAAACCCCAGATAGTTTGGGGTTTAGGGTTTAGGGTTTAGGGTTTAGGGCAAACCCCAGAAAGTTGGAAAATGGGCTCAAGATGATTAGTGCTGGGTTTAGGGTTTAGGGTTTAGGGTTTTGGGTTGGATTGCTTATACTTTGCCTTAAGGACATGAGGATATTAATGTTCCAACTTTCTGCCAGAAAGGCCTGAGTTTGGGGATTAGGGATTTTTTGGGATTTAGGAATCAGGGTTTCGGAGGGCCTGAGTTTGGGTTTAGGGTTTAGGGTTTAGGGATTCGGGTTTCGGGTATATGGATAATATAGGAAGCTAACTAAGAAACCCTTGGTCTTTATGAGGGCTCTTTGTATGAAATTTAACTAATATTTTGGGGATATAGGGCCAAGGTTCTAAATCAGGCTCCTACATGAAGTATCGTTTCGGTGCAAATAGTGCAGGACTTTCAACTACAGTATCTGTTGCTGATGCTTCTTGCTTGGAAGTTCTTGCTCCTCTACAAAAGACTGGATGCAACAGATACTTTCAACCGCTGGGTGCTCTTGACTAAGCCAATGACACAACACACTGAACAAGGCAAGGCATGCGACCACAACACAAAGGGTTTCATGATCGCTCTTTCTACGAAAGTTAAGATGTGGCCCTAAACCCTAAACCCTAAACTCTAAACCCTAAACTCTACCTTAAGAACCCAAAACCTACTTTGTTGTAGGGTCCCTATTAAGGTAAACCCTAAACCCCGAAATCCTAAACCCTAAACCCTTAACATGTGGCTGACGATTTCTCTGTTTTTGGGGAAGCCTCGACCTGACACGGTTTCATCTTTTGTCCTCCCACCAGCGCCTTTAAAGTCCTGTTTAGGGCTTAGAGTTCGAAGGTTTTAGGGATTTAGGGTTCAGGGTTGAGGGGTTTAGGGTTTAGGGCTTAGGGAGTTAGGGTTCAGGGTTGAGGGGTTTAGGGTTTAGGGCTTAGGGTTTAGGCCTTTGGGCCGTGCAGAACCATTCGTGCTGCTGAGCGCCCAGGCGTTTTGGGTAGTTACGGCCTTGCCGCATCCATGACAGCACGGGCGTCGGCGTCTGCCCTTTCCATCAGTATAGGAGGCCTTGCACCGCAAGGCAAGGCGAACTGCTTCACCTGCAGTGCCACCCTTGAGTGGCCGCCGCAGATGACAGCTGCTGGCGCAAACACGCCCTGTCGGCAGTGGCACCCTGAGTCCTGCAGCATCAGTCGGCCAGAGCGTCGGCACGCGAACATCCACCGACTGGATGATGTACTGCAGGTACATCATCTTTATGTGGCCCGGAAAGAAGGTCTTTCCTTGCCCCCAGTCGCCGCCCCGCAGTTCATACCAGTGCTCGATGCCATATGTAACCATGACCTGTGGGGGAGACAGACAGTGGCACTGGGCCATGAGTATGAGACGAACTCTGCCACCTGCGCCTCGACAGCACGCGCCATAAAACCACCCACCCTAAACCCTGAATCGCTGAACCTTGAAGCCAAACCGTAAGGCTAAACCCGAAAGCCTGAACTAAGTCTGAACCACTGAACTCCGCACCGTCAACCCTTAATCAGGTTGAACCACCACTATAGGCTTAGAGTTTAGGGTGTTAGGTTTGTGGGGTTTGGGGTTGGCACTTTATGGCTTTTTCGGGGTTGATACAGCTCTACAATGCTTGCGCTGAGTGTCTTGGGTTTGGGGGTCTGAATCGAGGCCCCGGACCCTCGGGACACTCTGCGGTTTAGGGTTTAGGGTTTAGGGTTTAGGGGGACACTCTGTCCTAGACCCACAACGCCCTGCACAAGCAAACCCTGCTGCCTTCGAAACCCACTGAACCGTCAACCCCCCAAACCCATCACCCCGAAACCCTGATCCCTACCCTAAACCCCAAACCCATAACCCCAAAACCCTGATCCCTAAACCCAGAACCCCGACACACCGATCCCTAGACACTACAAGAAAGAGATTCTGCAAAGAAAACCCTGCACCAACACCAGGGCGCCAGATCCCCCGTGCAGCCACGAAACCCCGAGACAAAATAGGGCCCCCCAAATGCACATAAGCAAAATTTGGATAGGGATATCCCGTATAAATCCCCTTGTAATGAAGCCCAATGAGGTAGGGATTTCCCTACAAAATGCTTATGCTTATGTCCTTTTAGGGTTCCTAACAAAAATAAGGTCAGGCCGCTTGGCGAGGTCTGCGGGAAGCTTGTACAGGACGTTAGCTCCGTAACCTCCCCAGAGAGCCCCCGTAAATAAGGCTTTTGCTTGAAATTCTACTTGGAGGACCATGGGACTTAGTAAGTAAGGTTATAAGTACCCTAACTGGGGTTATAATTATAGCTACCTTACTTATAACCCTATAGTTACTAAGTCCCATGATCCTCCAAGTACCCTAAACCCTAACCCCTAACCCCTAAACCCCTAAACCCCTAAACCCTAAACCCAAACCCCTAAACCCTAAGCCCTAAC